TTAGCAACATACAATTGATGAATGTTGCCTTTTGCATGTTGCAAAAGGCCATTTTTGTTGTAGTGCCCACAACAAAACAAGAGAAGGGGAGGAGGAGAAAAAAAAAAGAAGAAAAAACTCACCACCGCGTTCTATGCGGCTGTAGCCACGATTTGCATTGGTCACCGCCTTGAGCGCCGCGCCGCCCGGTGAAGGAAAAGAGAGAAGACAGAGGCGGAGAGGAGAGAAAAACGATGAGGGGTAGAGAGAGAGAGAGAGAGAGAGAGAGAGAGTAATGAAAATGAAAAATGATTAATTTGAATTTGTAATATAATTATTAATATTAAAATTTTTAATCAAAACCTGATTTTTGAAAAGTTAAACTTGTCATCTGATTTATGAAAATGGTATTTTAAAATCAGGTGTAGGTGTAATTTCCACTTAAAATTACACTACATGTTCTTGTACTTCAGCCCAATGCAATGCCCATCTTGGCCCATTTCCTCCCTCTATATAGGTTCATTTTACAATCAAGGTTTGTTTTTCTTCGAATGCATACAAGGTACAAATATTACTAATTTTTCATTCTAGTGCTTACGTATAACACGCGACACATCCAATTAAGTTGACACCCACCTTTAAACCTAAGCATAAAATGAACCGGAGTTGAATTGAAATGAAACAAATCCAATTAGTATTACATGGTTCATAAAAGCTAGCTAGGCCAGCGAACAAGTAGCCTAGCAAAATAATAGTTAAATCGACTAGACATATCTAAAAAATTAACAAATCGTGAACAGGAGAACCACCATGAGATGAATGCATTGCAATAGCACCAAACTCCGTTGCCTTCATAGTAGACATGCAAAACTAATGCATTATGGAGATCAAATGTAGGAATTTAACCTATTTAGAAAGAAGGATCATGCTACGTGTATATGAAGATTGACACAATTGTTTACATTTATGTGAGATGGTAGATTTTGACACATTGATCTTGACAACACCTTTTTCATTTTTGACACATAAGGGGTGACAATCAAGGTGTACATTTCGTGTATGCAAGTAACTAATTTAATCCAAGAAAGAATGCTCCATGATACCAGTTGAAAATGCCAAACCTTTTTGATAATTTGGTTATTTTCATTCTCAAATATTGTAAAATCGAAAATCACATCCAAAAACATAGCTTCTTTCAAAATATTAATGGTCTATTTTATAATCTTTAATACAGTTGCTAAATACATTGCTAAAAATCTTTTAAGTTTTCTCCGACCTTTAAATATTCAAAATGTAACTTTTTAAATTGTAACAAAGCATACTTTTTCCAACAAAAGAAACTGTTGAGAAATACTTGGATGTTTTTTAATATATTGTATGGCGCTGTTAAAAGAAAACAAAATAATTATTTAATCGCGATCATTACTCTGTCTCCGTTTGATGGAGATTAAAATTAGATTTTTAGTAAATTTTGATAAAATTTGATAAAATGTGTGATTGAAACGTTATTAAATCCACGAAATATGTTGTTAAAATTAATTGCAGAATTTGACT